GAAAACACTAACAAAAAAACGAGACAGGAGGCTAGAAGGAGAGGGAGTTGCTGAGGCTCCAGAACTTACATATCTCATACACATCCATCCATCCATCCATCCATCCCTACGCCGTCCAGCGGTCGCATCCATCCCATCCATTCCATCCATCCATCGGAAGTAAATCCAGATGCCAGTCAGGCAACAACCCCTACATTCCCCTCCCGCCTCCTCCTCCTCCCTCTACCCAACCCCCCTCCACCCCCACCCCTCCGTCCTCCCCTACACTAACGTACAGGACGCTGGTGATCCTATTCCCCCAAATCGTGTAATCCTCGAACCTGAGATTTTCAAGTCACCAGTCTTGCATTTGGTGTACAAAAAAAAAAAAAAAAAAACAAGAAACTCATACTAATTTGAGCCAGCTGCTCTTACCACTGCCTTACAGATGGACGCCCGACCAGACGTTTGAAAAAAAAAAAAAAAAAAAAAAAAAAGGTAGCCAGTAATTGAGGCCGTTCGAAGCATCTTTCAGGAGGCCCTCCCTCCATAAACCCCTCTCGGCTCACACATCCGTACAAGGTACAAGGTTTTTTTTGCCTTTACCCAACATGAAACGAAAATCTGATCAACGGAAAAAAATGATAAAAAAATCAGATGCGCCTTTAACAATTACACTATGACATGGAAGTTAAGTAAACAAATACGTGAATTGTTTTTTGGCGGGAGTACTTGATTGACCATTTTTTTTGGCGGGAACACTTAAAACCCTTTTTTTGGGCGGGGGAACGGACGGAATATTAGTCTTTTTTTGTTAAACCCCTCACAAAATGGATCTGATCGATGACAAACTAATCAGATAACAAGACCACGCCACTTTGACACCCGCATCCATGCAGTCGATCGAAATTTGGCGCGTAAAACATTTACCCGCGAACAGGGAGGCCCCGCCCTAGTCACAGACACATCCATATGTACACGAATAGATATCACATGCACGCGAACCCAGAAAAATATAAACCTTATCTCGACCCCCCCCCCCCATCCTCCCTTTCTCCCTCCTCCACTTCCCTCCCTCTCTCCCTTCCCCCCTTCCTCACCGAGAGACTGAAGAGAAACTCTTCTTCCCTACAGTACCACGCTCGTAAGCTACCGGCGATAAACATGGTACTCCTCCGTACTGACTAACGAGCGGTACTCTCAATTCCCCCCCGTTCCCCAAAACCGAGATAGATTCATCATCACCTGCATCCATCTCATCCTCAGCTTCTTCATTTCCGACAACAGCTGCAACCAATATCATCATCATCATCATCCATCATCATCATCATCATCCATCATCATCATCATCCATCATCATCATCATCATCATCAACGCATCGAAAGCATCACCATCATCACCATGTCACCACCACCACCACCATCATCATCATCATGATCATCACGATCATCATTATCATCATTATTATCATCATCAACGCATCACCATCATCACCATCATCACCATGCCACCACCGCCACCATTATCATTATCATTATCATCATCATCATCATCCTTATCATCATCAACGCATCGACAGCATCACCATGTCACCACCACCATCATCATCATCATCATCATCATCATCATCATGTTCGCGATACAATCAAGGAGAGCATTAGGGGGTCTGAGGACCGGCTGGTATTCCGACGGGGACTGAACGACCTGCCGTTACGACGAGCAAGCAAAGGGCTTGCACGACCTCAAAAGATATACGTATATGGTGTCGACGATCCTGTTATCACTGCTTTATTCAGCCTTAATGAAAACGCGTCAAACAAGGGGGGGAAAAAAAAAAAAAAACCGCAAATGGTGCGCACGAGGTCCTTACGAAAACGAAGAGGATAACAAAACCAAAAAGCAAAAAACAAACGAAAAGGATAACAAAACCAAAAAGCAAAAAAGAACAGAAAAAAAAGAGTGCAAGGGTACCAAAAAAATGTTCGCACAAGAAGGAAAATAACGAGGGGGAAAAATGCGGAGGGAAAAGGAGATGGGAGGTGATTTCGTAGTGTACAAGTCTGAAAACGTGCGGATCGGGATCGGTGGACTGCGGTAGGACTAGATACTATCCTTAAAAAAAAAAGGAAAAAAAAACTAATTTGTACTGGTAATAAACATCTATGTTGAAAATCAGACAGACAAAGTGGGCGGGAAGGGGAAAAAAGAAATGGGAGGGGAGAAAATTATTAAGTGAGAGAGAGAACAAAAAAATGGTAGGGAGAGAGAAAAAAACGAGGGACGGAAGACTACTGTATGATAACAGCTGCGTGGGATACGTACCCCTCACGATCTACGATATCCAAAAGAGAAGGAAAAAGAAGAAAAAAAAAAAAACAGCACTTTTATAATCATTTATATACATACAGAACAATCGTCCCGACGCGCAACACTGTTAAGAAAAAACAGGAAAAAAAAATAAAAACCGCGCATCAATGCACCCACACCCAATCAATGAGAGACGTCGAATTCCCACGGAGCAGATCCTTATCCCGACGACGAGTGCTGATGATGGTAATCACTTCGTATATAGGATGATGACGTCGTGGTCAGTAAATTTTTTATGTCCGTTTCCATCACCATCCTCTGCGTCCGATCTCGCTAATCTTTATCCACACGATGCGGACGACTAATCAAATGTTAAATTGATCACCTCACTGACGTGGCATTGACGTAATTAGTTGTTCAATTGGTTGCTTAATCACAGGACAATGACGTCCTACAATCAGTTGGTAAATCGATCACATGATGACGTGACAACAACGTCACCAGTGGTTCAATTGATCGCATGATGACGTGGCAATCGGAGATCCGTTCATAGATTGATGGCTTGATGACGTGGCAATCGGAGGAGATCCGTTCACAGATTGATGGCTTCATGACGTGGCAATCGGAAGAGAACCGTTCATAGATTGATCGCTTGACGACGCGGCAACAACGGGATCGGTTGTTAGATTGGATCGCTTAATGACGTGGCTAATCAACAAATTCATTCCAATTCAATTCGGTTTTTCGATTTCGGATTTAATTGCTTGAATTGATATCTATCTCCATCATTTTTTTGAACTCGTTGTAATCAACACATCCATCCCCATTTGAATCCACTCTAGCAATCATCCGTTCCACTTCTTGCTCGGTGATGGTACTCTGATCGTCATCGAGACTACGAAGGGCTTCATATAACTCCTTGACAGTGATGAAACCGTTGTTGTCCCGATCAAACACGTCAAAAGCCGCCTTGAGCTCTCTCTCCCTCTGCCCAGCGTCCACGGTGTTAAGCAAGACGAATTCTTCCCAATCTATGACGCCATCGCCATTCTTATCGACTTCAGTGATCATAAAAGTGAGTTCTTCATCAGTTGCTTCATCCCCAAGAGCCTTCAGTACATCCCCCAACTCCTCAGTTGTAATCTTTCCATCGCGATTCTTGTCAAATCTGTCAAAAGCGGCTTTCAATTCCTTTCGACGGATGATTTCGGCTTTCTCCACGGAAGAGGAGGAGGAGGAAGAAGAGGACGCGAGACCCACCACCCCTCTGATCTTGGATGCATCATCGCCATCTCCATCGCCTCCGCCTCCGTGAACACCCCTCCGAGCAGTCGGTGAAGAGCAGGGGTGGGCTCTCCCAACGAGAGCTACTGCATCTCCACCCTGCCCCCTACTTCCTGCGCTGCCCGTCGATAACGATTGCGCTTCCGCCGCCGCCGCCGCCGCCGCCGCCTGGCCCCGGGTCCGCGTCGACGTGACGGCGGAAGTAGACCGGACCGGGGAAGACCGTCTCTCTCCCCGCTTGCTAACGGAAGAGCTAACGGCGGAAGACGGTTTCTCTGTCGGTTGGCTCACGCCGCTCCGCTCCTCTTGCCTTTCCGTTTGCTGCTGCTCCCGATTTCGTCCCCCCCCTCTCGCATCCACTGTCGCCGGTCGCGATCCCGGCATGAGCGCTGCTGTGTCGCCTCTCTCTCTCGTCTGGTCGTTCGTAAATTCGGAAGACGATTTTACACCATTGCCCTTCCCATCCGCCATCTCCATCGTCTTCCTGGCATCGCTTATATACTCCTCCTTCCTCGACGATGCCATGGAGATCAGTAGCTCTGTTCTCCCCTTTACTCCCCCCCCCCTGTTAACCCTCCACTCCACTCCCCCCGTCCTCCGCTTCCCGCCGTCAGGCGTTCGCGTAGACCTCAGGTCAGACCACAGGAGGAGTGCTCGGGGCGGATGTTCGTGGGTGGTGCCTGCGATGACGTGTCATCGGTCCCCGTGGGTGATGGCTGCCGTGTCGCGACCGGTCGCGACCGCGTCGATGACGTGTCATTTACGCCGCCTCAACGTGACCTCGCACCGCCGCGAACGACCGGTCGTCATCGCTGCCGCCGTGGACTGAGACCACCATACAGCCACTCGGGACCAATCAAAGACAACGGACAGCTCTCCATATCGGCAAGCATAGTTTTCTACCTCTCGTCGGTGAAGGGAGGTTACCTCTCTCGGTGAGAGGTAACGGCATGTTTGCCCCTTTGCCCTAGCGTTTACTCCGCCCGTCAGGGCCGGGCTAACACAAGGACCGAGCATTTGCCAGAAACTGTGCCCCCATTTTCATCTTCCCCCAACCCCATCGAGTAACAGTGGTGTCCCCACTCACACGCGCACTCACACCCCTGTTGGCTGGCTGAAGACCTTACTGATACCGACTGGGAGGATCCAGCTGACTATCTCACTTGGTTGGCACCAAGAGTGCCACAGGCGGCCATGGGGATTGAACCCAAGCCTGGGTCAAGCCAGGAATAGTGAAAATAGAAGACCTGTGGTCTCCTATACTGGGAGGGTGGAAATCACTCGGCGAAGTAAAACAGATCCTGAGAGGCCTGTAGCTGGTAGAGGAACACTGGGACCTCATCATCAGATCCATTCCACAGGAATGGTTGTCAATCCTGGGCCCAGAAAGAAAAGACCCAATCGGGCCCTGGTATGGCAATGCATAGATTTTTCGAATATGCTGTTGCTGATAGAAGATGTAACAGTGTCGTTATGGGACAACCCAGCTCAGTTTAGAGTGGTGGGAAGAAAAGATGGAACCGCTGCTGGGAGATCCCAGAGCTGGGTTGGCAGAGTGCCGCTTCGTCAGTTGTGTATCGACCCTCAGGTGTGGAGCTCGTCTCCCGGTGTCGGTGCAAATACCCTTGCAAGGGTATCCGCCCTGTTTTTTTGCAAATGACAGAAAATTAAGTTTGGTTTAAAGTTTGAATATACCACGCGAGTCGCGGCTGTGTCCGTGTTCTACGTTGACTAAATGGTTGACTAGAGCAGAGAGTGCGTGGGCGTGCAGACTTAAGGCGCGCGTGATCTATTTTTCCTTTGTTGATCGTGAAAGTCGATGTTGGTCGCCAGCGAGATCTTTATTTTTGATTAAACTAGGATTAAAAAGAGTAGGTCTCGTTGATTGATATGCTTGCCTTGTGACCTATGCGTACGTACAGAGGACGACATCGATAGCAATGTGACTTAGAAACGCTTCGATAAATCAGCACGTCGCACAGTAGTCTCCTATTTAGGTGTCAGTCAAAGTTTAGACCCAACAGTTGACGTAGTACCGGATTTTGGGGGCAGTCACAGCAATTAAGGACCTTGTGCGCGCCCTCCTTCTTGTTGACGTTTTAGTTCCTGTATGTTCGGATGGCCAGTGAAATTTACGTATCCTGTTTACTTAAAATGAGGGCCGGCGAGTTTAACATGCATGCGAGCTGACGGGAAGTTAGCCCACGAGGTGGAAGAAACCTGGCGGTACGGACCCTGTGCAGTCGTACCGCCCACCAGCCACAAGTTGCTACGAGAGGTTTGAGTGTGAACATGCCCGCGAGACTCTCCTCCACTTCGGTCGTCAAAGTTCTTATTTCGATATTTGCTACCACCATCAAGGCCATTGCGGGGGCCGCAGGAGGGTGGAATTGATCCAGGTAGTCTTGGCCAAGGGGGGGGGGGGTGTACACCTTCCGTCAGCCGCGGCCTGCAGGGAAAGAATTGGAGAGAGCGTGCCCTTAGGACCTGAAAAATCGGGAACTGGCCACAGGCGCTCTGAGCCAGGGGTACCACGACAGAGACTGATCCAACACGACCATGCAGCCGCCCGTCGGAACTTGGGTTTACGGGCGGGCCACCTAGTTGCCGGTCCTTTCTGAGTTTTTTTTCTAAGGTAAGTCGGTCACTGTTGAATCGCTGAACAGTCATCAGAAGGTCGGACGCTGCACAGTCAGCCACTGTTGGAAGACAGTGCTAGTCGGGAAGAAGGAGAATCGAGAAGATTAGGGGAGACGGTAGGGTATAGTCGACGGAAGCGTCAGCCGCCAGACTATACTGACTCCCCCAACTAAGAGTTGTAGCGGAAAGGGGACGAAGAAAGCGCAGACGAGGAGGCAACTAAGAGAGGAATAATGGAATGAAACAGGTACTATTTTTGCGTTCGGTACATCCAAAGAAAAAGAGACGAAGATGGGAAAGAATGCGGGGGTAATAGCAGTCAAAGCAAGCCGGTAGTCAGCCGCTGGGCATAGGGCTAATGGACTAAGTCGTCCAGTACATGGTTCATTCCGAGGTTTCCCTTATGAGCACTGGAGCTTTGGACCGATAGCGATCGCTGAGGAGGCACACTGCCGTTGGAGCGGAGGGGGACAGGGACGATGAGCGTTGAGCCAGAGCGGCGGGTCCAGTTGGGCTGCGCCAGTAGCAGCGGGCGGAGCAAGGTAGAGGGGAGCACTGCGGATGAGGAGCGAGCAAGAGAAGCAAGGTACGGGCGCAAAGAAGGGAGGGGGAGTGCACCGGAGCATGATTTGCGCCAGATCCACTCGCAAACAGTGATGGAAAAGGAGTAGACATGGCAGACTGGAGATCTCATAATTCGCTCGATTCTAAACGAAATCGGGCGGACTAAGTTTCGTTTTGGGGGGTTTTGAGGTAGGCGAGTCTGAATATGCAATCAGCTTGAGCAAAGGGGTAGTAGAATAGGAGTTAGATGAGAGAGAGAGCGCAGAGGGATGGCGGGGGGCAGCTATGGTGAAAATCGAAAAACGCAGTACTCACTCATCTCTTGGTGAAAATGAGCGAGGAAAGTTGATGGACAAAGGTTTTTGGATGTTGCGACTCTGATTTTATAGTTAGTTTGAGTGTTAGATTAGTAGGATTAGAGTAGTAAGAGTAGAAGTTGCGCAAAGGTTATCGGAAAGCAGATATGGTCGACTGTGGAAAAACGAAGTTTTCACTCGACTCAGCACGAAATCGAATGAAATAAAGGGCAAGGTTGAAGTGTCTTGGCGCGGCAACTCCGTCGGTGAGGTCGGAATGGCGGCCGAGTTGGTAGTTTAGTCGTATTGGTGTTATGGGTTGCGCGTAGAAAATGGGGAACAACCTCACAAATATCAACGATTACTTCCCCGTTTTGGCAGAAGATTCATTCGGTTTTGCTTAACGCTTTTATGAAAATTGTGTGAGATATATGGGTGGCGATAGGGACTTACCTATTGGTTATCATATCGTTCAGCGTGTCAACGGAAGCCATCTCAGTGGTCGCGCCTTTAGTAGTAACTCTCACCTCTACCTAACGAACATGAACAGTTCAAACATAGTGGTGGTTTCCGTTGTTGAGATACGCTAATCATATATAGAGTGGGTGAACATCATCGAGATCCTTGGTCAGGTATATTAGAAGATATGCAAACGACGACCATACGTATTAGATGAGAGGTAGAGGAAGAAAAAATCACCCTTGTTAGTAGTTTTGCGGACAATCTACAGACAACAATGAGGGGCTAACTTGGTATGTGTTCTATCTTAGTTTTAGCAAAGATTTTGTTCTTAATTTGTACAGTCGGTGAGTAGAGAGGCGAGGTTAATAGTCGGGCATTCGATATTTACAGTCGTCATTTCAAGCTCGGTAATGCATGTTATCGCAGTCACTGCGGGGATAAGATCGTTGTGTTGGTCATAGCCACTACACTACTGTCATTCTTACCGTCGGCGGAAAGGGCTCGGTCCACCGAGCGGAACAACAACAGGAAAACGGCAACTTGAGGACTTCCAGTTTTGGCCAAAAACGTTGTCCATCCTGTTCGCAGATGCGTTGCACATCCTGGCAAAGCTGAAGCAGCAAGGGAGTGAGTAACCGGGGATTGGATTTTTACCCACTAATCTACACACTGTCCAACCAATCGTTGGTATGGAGTGGCAAGAAGACGGGCGCGAAGTTGTTGATTTCGCAGACTGACCAGTACGCTACTAAGTGTCCGTCCTATCTTGCGAAGTAGCCTGAGCCCACCTGCGAGGCTACAAGTCATTGTTTGACTGAAGTGCCGCCCATCTTACCAACCGGCATGCGCAAGGGGCCCGGTTGCAAGGTGTATAGCGACTGCAGACGGAGCAGTGACGTTGCGGCCTGACTGTTAGCTGATGCGTAACCCAGCCTGTTGGTGACTTTTGGATTGGGGCCAATCGCAGGGACTGTAGATTCGGACGCTGGCCGATGCAGTATTCGTTCAGTTGATTGAAGCATTACGAGTTCGGCTGCGGGATAAATACGTGACTGACCTTGGGTTGACTGGGCCCTTGGAGGAGCCAAGCCTGGGGCTTGGAGGGATAGTGAGTACGACTATGTCAGGGGCTTCTGCGTCTGGAGGAACAATAGAGTTGAGTGAGGAGAGTTTTTTTGCAGACTAAGAGATTATCAAGAAATCAACAGTTCGACGGTTTGATTTTAGTTGATCAAGTTGTTATACATTTTGACCATCATTGCGGGGCCCTCAGGCGATGAAAGATTACGAGGCCCTCTCCTACGAGTTGAGTCTGTCCCATTCTCAAATCTCGAGAGTCTGAAAACCCTTACTTCTGCCCTTCTTACTCTAAGTCTAATCCTGTTATGAGAGGCTGGCGGCAGGCGGGATTGCAACCCGTAGGACCGCAACGAGACTCTATGGGGAGTCAGCCCACCGATTGCGGGAGCTCTGCCGGAACTCAGGAGGAGTTATGGAGGCAGGGAATTGAGAGGTAACCATTGCTTTCCTTCTATAAACCCAGTTATAACCCATTATGTGTATTTCTGACTACGTTTTGACTGAGTATATTGCATGCATCTCTACTTTGACTGTTAGTTTGACTTTCATGATAAACCGGACTTAATTAAAGGAATGATTGTGCAAGTTGCAGTTTCAGTTTTTGTTTATCTGACCGAAAACAGATTGTGGGGTTGCATCTGGGGGAAAGGTGGGAGGAAGGCAGTATTGCATGTTTGACTGGG